GCTCACAACTTGATTTTTATAAAGACACAAATACTCGCTTCTTCCTAGAGAAGGGACTTAAAATAAAAGGTATCTTTTGCATTCTTTTAAGCCACCTCATGGAGACAGGCCAATACCAAGAATAACGAATGGAGAAAGCTGAGGCCCTATCATGAGTAAGTACATGTAACAACTAGCAAGAAGAGATGCCCAAAATCTGTTCTGGTAGGCTCTTATTTTTCTAAAGTAACCTAATTCAATAAGAGAAGACTCTCTGAAGATCTGAATCTTCAAAAATAAATTGTGAGGAATAAATTCTAAAGTGTCTTTAGATACTTACAATGAAGCTAGTTTTTGAAGATTTCAAACCTAACATCAAAGCTTTAGGCTGAGATTATGGGTAAAGATTCCAGAAATGCTACTACTTATTCTTGAAATTTGTTAGTATTCCTAGGTCTGTGAAAAAGGTTTAAACCATTCCTGGAAGAGACACTAAACTAAGTGTGTTAACATACTTACAAGCAAAACTCATGTTCTAGTGGGGAATAAGGGCTCTGAAATCAGACTTGGATTCAAATTATGGTTCTATTACTTTCGAAGAAGGTGAACCTCTGTATGGATTAAATGAAAACACTGTATAAAGTGCCTAACCCCACAGCAGTACATCACACCCATGCTCTCTTTGTAAGACTGACGATGCAATGGAGAGGTCAAAGGCAACATCACTAGGAGCCACATTATTCCTTATCTTTTCCACAGCCACAGAAACATGTCAGTTTTGTTTTTTTTTAAACCATTAGCAAACAGCCCTACAGGCAAGAAGATGGAAGGAACCAATGACCAAAGAAGTTCAGGATCCTATGAACTTATGCATTCCTTTTAAATAGCCAGGTGTCACTATTCAGATTTACCTACCACAAACTGCTGCTGTGTTCCGCCCATAGATGTACGGCGCTGGGTATCCTGATGGGCACGAACCAACAACTGAACTAGTCGCGGAATGGCACCCTGCTCACGCAAAGGTGCATGATTTGCTGGACAAAGGGCAAGATTTCGAATCAATCCAACAGTAGCCTGTAGATGAAAAGGAAGAATAAAAAATGGGCATGTAACTCAACAAAATCATCTTCTGAGCCTAAAATTCCCACCACACTAAATCTATTGGTGTCACCTGAAAGTAGCTCAGACTTCACAAATACTTTGGGACCCCACCCTAGCCATACTTCCTATTTACTAAGGAATATGACTCGTACTTATCAATCCCTTATGCCTAGACAGCCATCCAATAGCTAGAGGTGGTTCATTTTCAATTCTGCAGCCTTCTATTTTGATTGAGTTTACCTTTATCAGAGGCCAGTGAGATGGTGGGTGCAGGAGTTTAACCACAACTGGTAGTCCATAGTGAAGGCGAACAGCATTCTGGGCCATCTCTGCTTCCTGGTGTCGGCTGGTCAGATGACGAAGAGCACAGATGGCAGGCTCAGTAATGTCCTCCCTGTCACCAGCACGAAGGACAGTACGCACAAGCGCCTCTATACCACCCACTTGGCAGACCATCATCTTGTTCTTATAATTATTGCAAGTGAGATTAGAAAGAATTCCAGCTGCACAGGTGACCACATTTATATCATCTGAGCCCAGAAGCTGAACAAGGGTCCCAAGAAGCCCTTCCATCCCTTCCTATGGACATAAAAACAAATGCTCAGTACATATTCATCTTACTTAATTCTGTCACCAAGGCACTGGCATACTCAAAATTTACCTGTTTAGTTGCAGCATCTGATAGATTCCTAAGAGTCCAAAGACAATTCTGAACAAGACGTTGACTTGGATCTGTCAGGTGAAGCCCTAAAGCTTGCATTCCACCTAGAATGTGAAAAAGATCTCAGGTAATGGCCATTAGCTGGCAATTCCTATCAGCACTGTCTCTTCTAGGCTTAGAGAGTGTCCCTCTTCATTGCCAAAGCTTATCCCCTCCATCTAAGTCCTTTCTTTTCATTTGCTAGGATGTTGCTCAGTTCCCCTTTCTTTTCCGATTCACCTCAACTAGTGACAACTTCTGTCGAGTATCTATTGTTCCTTCCCTATGTGGAAAATGCCTTCATTATCTCCACTGTCCTCCTTAGGTGGTATTTGTATTGTTTATTTCCTTTCATCCATTCAATCATCTCAAAAATATTCACCCAATATCAGGCCCTGTTTTGAGTTGGAGCTGTTACCGTGAGCAAAATACCCTAAGGTCCCTACTCTCAGAGCTCATAGTCTAGCTAGAGGCAGACAACAAATACGCAGTTAATAAACTGAAACTACATAGTACGTCAGATGGTGTTAAGTGCTATGGAAAAAAATAACACAAGATGGTGGGGGCTACAATTTCAAGTAGTGTAATCAGGTCACCTCAGTGTGAAAGTGACATCTGAGCAAAGACCTGAAGGAGCTACGGGAGACCAATTCAAAAAGGCACTGGAACGCTTATTACCAGGGACCGTATGAAAGGTACTGACTCCAGAAACATGTGCCCCAAAGGTTCGCAACCTTTCACCATTTAGGAGCCTAAGGAAGGACATTTATACTGATGGAGAAGTCTAAATGGAAGCTCAGTTCCCCACATAATGGCCTAACTTCACCCATCTCTCTCCTCCTGAAGTCACTTCTGAATGTAGTGAGATACTTTCCCTCGTCTCCTTGTTCATCTTTTCAGGTCTGTTTTATTTTTCATATTTTATTATTTTTTTAAATCATAGGTAGACTCCACACCCAATGTGGGGCTTGAACTCACGAGCCTGGAGATCAAGAGTCGCATGCTCTGAGCCAGCCAGGTGCCCCTTTTCAGGTCTGTTTTAAAATTAAGTCTACCTCCTCTACAGGACAAGGATCGTCCCTATCTGGTTCCTTCCTCATAGCAGCTCCAGCTACTAACAGAGTGACCTGCAAAAGGCTGATGCTCAATATCTGTTAAATGACTAGATTCCCCTCTACCTTCTTTCCCTCACAGATTTCATTCCCTCCCTTTACTCTTCACTCTAACAGGGTGGATCTCAATTGCAAATGTCCCATCAGAACAGCCTGTAGACTTTAAAAACACACACTGTATTCAGCAGGTCTAAGGGAAGAGTCCCATGCAGATGCCCCCTGAGGCACACACCCCCTTCCCTCCTACAGTGACAGGTCAACTCCCAAATCTCTAGCCCAGTCTTCCCCTGCATTTTAGTACCATACGTTTCCACCTACCTACCGCCGTTTTAGTCACTCAATATGTCAGCTTCTTAAATTATCTTGTTCCAAATCTTAATTAACCCATTCTGGTAGTTCCCTTCATCTTAATGGTACCAATGTTCTCCCCACCACAAACCACTTCTGGTTCTACCTTTAACCCCTAAGTTATTATATTCTATGGGTTCTTTCAGAAACCTCAAAACAGTCATCCTTTGCGGTGTATTTTTGATACCAAACTGTTTCATTCCTAGAAGCCTGTAACACATGTCGGTGGCCTGGTCTGCTTGCCTTTGGTCATTCAAACTGTCACACATGGTTAGTATTAACATTCCAAACACAGCACTGTGATGCTGTGCCACTGCTTAATAACCGTTAGTAAGTTCTCATTTTCTGTAAGACAAAGGCCAAATTCTTTAGCATAACCTTAAGGAACCCTTTAGAATTTGGATCCCACCTAGCATTGCAAACTGAACTAAATATTCTACAACTGTGGTTCTAAAGCTGGAAAAAAAGCATAAATGAACATCTTAAGGCCTAGAAAGTCCTGTAAGATATGGGCCCTTACCTAGACCCCCAACCTCATTCTGGGCTACTCACCAATTACTCATTAAATTCTAGTTACACACACTTCCTCTTTAGCACTTAGAGATCAACAATCTCTTTCTTACCTTCAGGACATAGCACATGTTTCTTTTCCCTGCCTGGAAGGCATCTAATCCCCACTTCTCATATAGCTAACAGATGCCTGCTCATCCTGCAATCCCATTTTACGTCCCCTTCCCAGGGAAGCTCTTCCCTCCCCATTACTTCTGTATCAGCATTTGCTGTTCCTTTCTCCCTGACACAGAAGTCATTCTAAGTTGTAATGCCCCCCGTCTTTTGCATGTTTTTGTCACCCTCACCAGAATGGAAGAATATAGGGACCATATCTGCTTGGTTATCCAGTGTATACCACATGCTTATTCTAGTGCATGAGACACAGGTGCTCAATGTTTTCAGAACACACAAATGAACATCAGAATAACCTGGCTAACTTCTTAAAATGGAAGATGCCTAGGTCTCCAGTCCCATACACATTTCTAGCTACCTACTGACCTTGTCACTTCACTCCAAGGATTCTGATTAAGTCCAAAAATCTGCATTTTTTGCAAGCACTCCTCGTATTTCTGGAATAGCTGGCAGAATTTCATTCCCTTGCTGAATATGAACGCAGCCACACCTGTCCATCCCAGTGCCAGCCGCCATCCTGGGTAATCATAATGCCCCTCCCACAAATTCTCAAGTAAAATTACTCTCAACAAGTGAGAAAAACAGCTGTTACCAACCCTACACTTTACTCCCAGCATTTTCTTCTAGTACATGCTTTCATATTTTCCCTCTTCCAGTTGTGATATGAAGCTTGGTTTAAGAGTCCAGGTAGGGGCGCCTGGGTGGCTCAGTTGGTTAGGCGACTGCCTTCGGCTCAGGTCATGATCCTGGAGTCCCTGGATCGAGTCCCGCATCGGGCTCCCTGCTCGGCAGGGAGCCTGCTTCTCCCTCTGACCCTCCCCCTTCTCATGTGCTCTCTCTCATTCTCTCTCAAATAAATAAATAAAATCTTTAAAAAAAAAAAAAAAAAGAGTCCAGGTAGATACTGTTAAGTGGGTTACAGAAAGGAGAACTGATGCTAGGTAGCTGAAGAGTAACTGTATCCTCATGATAAAAAAACAAAAAGCCCTGGTTGGTCCACCTATTCCTTTCCTCTGCTACCAACATGCACACAATATAAACTACCACGTATCAGCCATCATTTTTGATGGGTAATAAGAACTCTGCCTAAACTAGGCTTAAACAGCACCAGTGCAGGTGTCAAGCAGGACATATACTTTGAATGTGATCTTGGCTACAAACTGGTTCTATTCAATTTCAGCCCATTAATAGGTCAAGTTGTATTACCCTTTTCCTAAGACAAGTAATCTAATTAGAACTGCAAGATGCTGTACACATGACACTCAGAATACTTACCTGCTTCTACAATAGCTGGTTTATTACTAGAGCAGACAGACAGCACCTTCAGTACCCTGCTCGTGGTCCACAGTAGTTTCTCGTAAGTGTAGGTCCTCATTATATTTACTAAAGCTTGAGGTCCACCACTAGCCAGAATGATCAGCTAGAAAGACATGTATATATATATATATATATATATCATTAGTCATGGAATCTTCACCATATGCCCAAGAAAAGCCACATTACCAACCTATTTTATTATACAAGCATTTTAGCCAGCTTGCCATTGACCTAAATGTATTCCTGGACCCATTACCCAGATCCCCATACTGGAGCCCTGTTTAACTCCTCCTCCTACAGCATTCCACTCAAATTCAGGAATCCCAGTACTCCCAAGAATATACCAACTGTGCCCCAATTTTCTTCCTCCCCCACTGATCACAGCAAAAGAAACAAACAGAAACCATGTTGGTATGTAACAGTAAGGCCCAGATAATGATGCTGTATCAAAGTGGATTTGTTGAAAATCTGAACCAGAACAGGCGCTTAGAACTCCTAATGATTTGGCTCTTGGCTCTTCCTAATCGTTATTCACCTACTTAAAATGATGTATCACAAAATAGTCATTCATTCTTGTCCTTTACTTCCCTGTATACCCCCACCTCCAAACTATCCTGATTTTCTAAAAAGAAATCTCATCACTTCATGCTCTGCTGATACTGAACTGCTTTCCATTACTCTTTGAACATATTCTACAAGGCCCTGCGGGACCTGCCCTGCTGGGTATCTCAACAGTCTCAAACCTTTACTCTTCATAAACTCATCCCTCTCCTCCCTCAGTAGGACTTTCAAAGGTGTCACTTCCTCTCTCTGACCTTCACCTAGTCAGTCTCTCCTCATCCCTGAGAGCTGAACTCAACTATCACTTCCTCCCATAGGTCTCCCTGAACCTTCCAAACAGGATCTGGTTCACATATATGCTCTCATAGCCCCTCTACTTCCTTGGAATAAATGGATTAAATAATAATTAGATTATTATCTCGGTGCCTATCACCCACCTAAGAATGAAAGCTCTAAGTTTGCCCACTGTATCCCTATCACCTAGCTTCATACAAACAGACAAATATTTAAAGAAAATAGATGTCCAACTTTTTTTTCTAGGATATACACAAAGGATGAAGCATACAAAGAATGTGCAAGAGTCCACAGAAGGACATGACACTGGATTCCCTGACGCTCCACGAACCACATTCAGAACAATTCTTTTACCTTGCTTTCTTGATTGCCATAAGCTAAAATCTGAAGGCAGTCTGTTGTAATAGCCAAGAATTTAACATTTGTTTTGTTGAGCAAGGCAACCATTTTCTGCAGCCCACCGGCTAAACGCACTGCCATTTTAGCTCCTTCTTGATGCAATAAAAGGTTGTGGAGAGTTGTAATGGCATAAAATAATACAGAATCCACCGGTGAACTGGGAAGAAGAAAAAAGCCTCGTCAGAAATGCTGTGATGGCACTCTTCGCCTTCCTAGCTTCAAGCATTCTGACCATGTTTTCTTACCCAAGCATCTTCACCAGGGCAGGAATGCCCCCAGACTTAAAGATGGCCAGCAAGCCCTCACGATGATGAGAAAGATTGTGCAAGGTCCCAGCAGTACAGCGAGCCGTTTCCACATCATTTGTATTCTGCATGGTGCGTACAATAGCAGACACCATCTGAGGAGAACGCATGATGGCGTGTCTGGAAGCTTCCTTTTTAGAAAGCTGATGGACCATAACTGCAGCCTTATTAACCACCACCTATAATGTATAGGAATTAAAAGACAGCATTAGTTTTCAAATACTGATATTGGGTAGACAATCTGAGGCTCCCTCCTTGAAAGTTTTCTTCAAAACAGATTAAAAGCTAGCTGTATCGTTACTTACCTGGTCCTCATCGTTTAGCAGTTTTGTCAGTTCAGGGATTGCACGTGTGGCAAGTTCTGCATCATCTTGATAGTTAATCAAATTTACAACTGCATGTTTCAGCATCTGTGATGGTTCAGCCAAACGCTGGACATTAGTAGGATGAGCGGCATCAAACTGTGTAGATGGGATCTGCATGCCCTCATCTAAGGTCTCAGGGAACATAGCAGCTCGCACCCTCTGAGCTCGTGTCATCGCATACTGACCATCAATATCTGGAAAAGATAATCAGCACTCACTATCCATAATTCAGCATTCACCTGAATTTGTGCTACCCTAAGTGGTAAGGTAGTATCACAATCACTCCCCTCTCTTTACCACATCATTTTATTTAAGCGATTACACGCTAACTTTTTTAAGAATCATTCTCAAAATTGACTTCTGACTCAGTATACTAAGGCAATAACACTCTTACCAGCTACTTGTTCTTGAGTGAAGGACTGAGAAAAGCCCTGTTCCCACTCGTACAGGACTTGGGTGGTATCCACATCCTCTTCCTCGGGATTGCCTTTACCACTCAGAGAAGGAGCTGTGGTAGTGGCACCAGAATGGATTCCAGAGTCCAGGTAAGACTGTTGCTGCCAGTGACTAACAGCCGCTTTTCTGTCTGGCTCCATGGCCATATCCAGCTCCATCAAATCAGCTATAAAAATCAAACAGCATTAGCATTACTACCACGGAAATGTTATCTTCACTTTAAAAATCTGTGATATGACGACCCACTGAAATATTGTTGGGAATAGTCAAATCTGAAAGACAGCCAAGAATAACAATAGCCAGTATTAGCTCAGTGATGAAATATCTACACTCTTAGGGGACCACCTAACAGTTACTCACTGAATTAGTGGAAGAATGGTACTGCATCCAGGCTCCAGAAGCAGTCATCCAGACTAGATTCCTGCTGGTGGCTTGTTTGCTATTTCACCAAGCCATTAGGAGGAGTGAGCAGAAAATGGAGCAAAAGGTAGCCTGACAAGTAAGCAGGGAGAGAGTAAAGCAGGGGGATCTGAGCCAGACTGGGTTAATGGCAATGAAGCAGAGCCCCGATTCAGTAACTGAAGACTTATGATACAAACCTTGGGTAGCCATTGCCCACACAGGATTTTCAAAACCGTTGTATGGTGTGCTTCAGATACCCTAAAAGAGTTAATCAAGTCATTAGGATTTAAAATTAAGTTTGTTTTTAGTACTTTTCAGTCACTAGGATGGCCTGCTAAACATCATAGACGATATCCATGAAAAGCCCCAAATCCCCTTTTATCATGTGAGAGTGAAACCCAGACTCCAGAGTCTCCTCCGTAACACTCAACCACAGCTCCACCACTGCTGAACCTCGAAGTAAAAATTCCTCATTAACAAGCACCTCTTTTTAAGTAGAAATACAAATTACAGTTATTCAGGAGGTCAGAAAGCATAATTACTGTAGGTAAAGAAAATTTATAGTGAAAGCCAAAGTGGAGGAAAAAAAACTATTCAAAATCAACTCCTCCTTGAGTTCCCAAAAGGCCTCTCTCCCTTTTTAACTTCTTTCACTGAAAAATTCTGGACAGTGGAATTGGACATGGGGAAAAAAAAAAAACAAAAAACCCCACACCAGATTTTCATTAAATGGTTTTTCTTTCCTGATACAATGCCATCTAAAATGCCTTCACTTAATCTTTTACTAAGAAGTAAAATTACTTTTCAACTGCAGGTCTGCAACACTTGTAGTAAAAAATTTTACTTTTTAGTAAAATTTTTCTAGCTCAAATTTATAGCAATGATGTATTATAAATATAAGTATTACTGACTAATGCTGTTTTGATTATAAAAAGCTTAATCTCTCATATGTATAATTACACATATATTTATATATATAAATCTTAGCATCTATGCTTGCATTTTGGCTTTATTGTGTAATAGTCAGAATACTGAATCACATGGGAAACTACTTGCAAATGAGAATTGTTTAAAGGCTCATGGCCACTAGACATTCCTAATAACAAAATTTCCTTTATCACAAAGTATTCCCCTAAACAAGTTTATCTTGCACTACAAATTACATATTGGCTTACCAATATGTAAAGATAGGGACTAAAATATTTAAGTGTGAAGTGTGAATTCTATCAATGTAAAAAGGAGTCTAAAGTTGGAAACTACACTCTCAAGTCCTATTTGCTCGAATGTAAAGGAAGCATGTATTAATTATTCCTGAAATTGCTCTTCCAGTACTAGATTTTTATAACCACAAAGATCACTTGACACGTAAAGATGACAAGAGTGGTGGATACAATTGTTTTAGTGTCCACAGTACAAACAACTGACAATTTTTGTACACAGCAAAATGAAGGACAGAAAATAATAAAGGTGGTTCCTCTCATTAAGAATCTTTTAAGATACCAAGCAGGATTATGTGTTTAATGTTTTGATTGGGAGTGGGGCATAGAAACCTGAATTTTTAATGAACATTCTAGGATGCACAAATGATCTGCAGACCACACTTTGAGAAATACCCAAGTTCTCTATTCACCGATGCTGCATTTTAGTTTTTATTTTTCCAACTCTCTGGAAACTGAGTTCCCCACTCCAGCTCCCAGTATACTTCCGGGAAAGGCGACCTAAAACATGTCCTACATTAGGCTCCTCCTTTGGCCAATGAATGCCACAGGGTTCAGAAACCAACTAGTCAGTATAATATACATAAATAATATGTGTTAATCAACTTTATGTTATTGGTAAGGCTTCTGGTCAATAGTAGGCTATTAGTAGTTAAGTTTTTGACAAGTCAAAAGTTATATACAGATTTTCCACTGTGTGGAGGGGTTGGTGCCCCTAACCCTTGCACTGTTCAAGGTTCAAGTGTACATGGCTTCAAGGCAAAAACATTTATAGTATTGCTTCCTTGTTGCTGATGCAAAAGCAAAACATTTTGCCATGTTACTGTGTAAAATCTGTTTATATGGGCTGATCTGTAATTTGATCATAATCTATAATGATTTTATGGAAAAAAGCAAGCTCCTATTCCAAACTTACAACATCAGTTTGTATGTTGGGGACTTGTAAATACTATTATTTTTATAGCACTTTAAATTTTTTATGCAGCACACAAAAGAATTATTTTTGCTCTTCACTACAATCCTATGTGTGAGGGAGGGCAAGTGTCAATCCAGCAGGCTGAGAAATAAAAAGTAGGAAGGAAAATGGGGATTTACATAAGCAACAGAATAACCAACTCACTCCTACATTACTCTGCAGACAAATCCAAATTTTCCAAAAATATGAGAACTCTTCACTTTAGAAATTTTTTTAGAAATTGAATATACTGTCCAAAGAGAACTAGGCCAGAATCTTGCCCAAAAGGAAAGCTTTCCTCATCCTTCCTGTGGACAGAACTTCCGGCCCAAGGGCTGGCTACCCCCCACCACACCCTGCCAATCATTAGGGGCCCAATTCTAGAGGTCCCAATTAACCAAGACTTACCAAACACATCAGAAAAATCTTCAATATCAAAGGAAAAAGTTCAAGAAAAACCAACAGAAAAACCTACTCCAGAGTAACACAGAATTTTAAAAAAGGGTAAGGGTGGGGAAGGAAACAGAATGTTTCAATTTATTACCCTCAAAAAGATTGGAGATAATAAAAAGCTCACTAGATAACCAAAGGTGAGAATAAAAAACCTCTTAGAGCATAAAGGAGAAAGATGCTCAATATACAAAAGAGAAGAGAGAAGAAACAAGATGATCAATCTAGAGGATCAAAGCTCCAACTAATGGCCATTTCAGAATTAGGAGAAACAAAAATGGGGAAAAGCCCATTAAGTACCAACTCAAGATAAAGGGAGGGCATAATGCTAACGAATTATGAAGTACTAAATGTTCCCAATGCAAGTGATCACTAACTACAGACTGCATTAGAATGCTTTGTGTCTTGCCAGCTTTATCACCACCAAGTGGTGCTTTAACAAAGAAAGAGGATTGCCAGGATAGCCAATTTATCCAGTTTAGTGAGGTAATGGATACATGCATCCTTCCTTTTATTTTTTTATTTTTGTTAAACATGTATTCTTTCAGTTATCTCAAAATTTATCAATTTTTGATTTAAAAATCTGTAAGTGTTTAACATACAGAATAGAAAAAAATATATACCCTTTATATATTAATAATTTCTACCTAGATGAAAAATTCATCCTGATCCACACCTTATTCAAAGTATTACTAATAAGCAATTTTTGCTTCAGCTTTTCTAATAGGATTACTTAAGCATCCTAGGCTTTTCTTTTTTCTTATTAGGAAAAATTTCAAATAGGCAGAGAAGTAGACACAACTGTATAATGAACACCCACATCACCTATACTTAATGACTGTTAATATTATGCAGAATTTGTGCCCTCCCACAGAATAATTTTAAAGTAAGTTACATACATTAGTTCATTATGTGGCTATAAAAAGGATATTTTTTTGCATACCAGAACGCTTTTATAAAAGTGTTATATACTAGCTATGACTCAATTTCACAAGGAGTGAATTGGAGCGTCTACTTCACCTTGTATACCTTAAGTGGCCTTCTGTCAAAGTCTATTTGAGAATTCTTGACATGATACAGGTTTCACACTAAAGTTTACTTCTCCAGTTCCCATTAGGACAAATTATCTTAATTACCTTAGATTTCACAAAATGTCAGTATTACTAACTAGGAGTAACTCTGCTATGTAAAAATAAAGCAGATCTATTATAAAGCCACAGTTTTATACTGGCAGTTCATGCAAACAATTCACTTTCCAATAACCCGTACTGGAAGAACCAAAGCCAATGACTTATTCTGTTTTCAAGTAAGAAAACACAACTCTATTTCAGGAGCATGATAAACTTACGAAAATCCTCAGGGATTAAAAACCGTTCTAAGTAATATTTGCTTTGTAAATCTAAAAGCACAAACATAATGCATTTTTTTTTTGTGGCTGTTGAATTTTTTTTTTTAATTTTTATTATGTTAATCACCATACATCATTAGTTTTTGATGTAGTGTTCCATGATTCATTGTTTGTGCATAACACCCACTGCTCCATGCAGAACGTGCCCTCTTTAATACCCATCACCGGGCTAACACATCCTCCCACCCCCTTCCCCTCTAGAACCCTCAGTTTGTTTTGCAGAGTCCATCGTCTCTCATGATTCATCTCCCCCTCCGATTTCCCCTTCATTCTTCCCCTCCTATCTTTTTTTTTTCTTAACATATATTGCATTATTTGTTTCAGAGGTACAGATCTGTGATTCAACAGTCTTGCACAATTCACAGCGCTCACCATAGCACATACCCTCCCCAGTGTCTATCACCCAGCCACCCCATCCCTCCCACCCCACCCCCCACTCCAGCAACCCTCAGTTTGTTTCCTGAGAAACACAATGCATTTTTATTAACCATCCCTACTAATACCTTGCCAGTTAAAAAATTTACAGTCTCCTCAAATCTTCCTGTTTGGGCACTTTTCATTCATCAGTAACACTTTTAAATCACAACTCACTCTAGTTTCCTTCTTACTTTTACTCCTCAGCTATGTCTTTGTGTATTCTGAGAGGAATCTCCCTTTACCAGCCGATAAAAAACAAATACCTAATGACACTTTTGCTCCTCCAAAATGCCTAACATTAATGCCCTTTGTATTATCTTTAAATACATAGGTGAAAAAATCGCTACTAGAATATGAACTGTGACTAGGAAAAATTAGGACATTTCCCAAATGATCTCTCTCCCTCCTTCATTTTATTGTCTTCCCTATTCTCTACCCTACCTATAAAGTAAAACATATATATGCTTAGTATAAAATGATATTTTTCCTTATCGTTCCTATCATAATGATACACAGTTAATGACGTTTTGGTATATTCAGTATTTTATTAAATTTACTATCGGTATTCTTTTAATATAAACATACAAAAACCAATTCCTTGTATTGTAGACCCTAACAAAATATTTTCATCTATACTGTATCATAGGTCTGTACTGTAATTTAACCAAATCTCCCTTTCTTGAATATTTAGTCCTCCCCCATTTAGTTTGCTATTCAAACAATGCTGAACAAAAATGTTTGCATATAAACGATTCTCTTAGTTTCTTCCACTTACCTTCCAGGAGGACTGCTCCAACTACTGGGTTAAAAGGGTAAGAATTTATAAGGCCTTTGTTACACAGCTCCATAATACTGAGG